AATTCTTTTATAACAATACTAATATTAAATATGGTAAACAGATGTATGCTTTTATGTGTATTGCCTCACTTGATATAATAACCTCATGAGATATAAAGGTAGAGCAAGATAGAGTCCATTTTAAGGATATGGACGATGAAGCTAAGAATAGCCTCAAAGGATTTCACAATCAAAAAGCATGTTGATAGACAGTCAAATCAGGACTGTCACTTGGTCCCAACTCAGAGCTGTTTATCCAATACCCTTTATTTTCCTGATAAAATGATGTTAGTTTACATATGATGTATTTGCATATTATGCATATCATACCTTGCCAATCCTGCAGTACCTTGTAAGAACCAGAACCTAATTTCAGAATACTACCTTCTAAAATATCTTTCTTTCTCTTTCTGGTGATGTGTTGAATTAATGTTCACATCTAGAATTACTATTCTTGGATTTGTAGGGTCACAGGAGCACCATCATTGCAAGGCTTCCTTTAAATTTAAAGAGTCAGGTGCTCCTCTAGTGTCACCTACCCTCAGCTGGGTTCTCCAGGCTGATGAAAAGCCTTCTAAGTCCGACTTAGCCCATCCCTCTTTCCTCATTACATATCCTAACCTTCACCACTCTCACTTCCTAGGCCACCATCTTATCATCACTGAAAACAAGCCAGCCTCTTTGTTCATGGAAGGAAGTGTTTCAACTTCCTCCCTGCCCTGACCTTTTCTCCCTTCTCAAATCAAGCTGAATCTCCTGCATCCAAATTTGTGATGACTCCCTGTGCCTTATATTCCTTTGCTTCCTTACTTTTTAGGTGGCTCAGGTCCTCAGAAATACCCTATCTTGCCTATGTCCTCAGTTTCTCTTTTTTTTTTTCTCTCCTAACTGTTCTTCCTGTCACCTGGCACTTTTCCTTTAGGGTACGTGTGTGCTCAGGCCTCTTGCACCTTCCCTCTGCCTCCCCTCACCACTCACTGCCTTGAGCTATCACAGCTAACCTGTGAAAGAGTAGCCTGCACAGAGCGTCCCTACTTCCTCGGCATCCCATTCACTCCTGGTTTTCCTCCTGACAATCTGAGCAGCACTTAGCAGACGCCTTTGCAGGCTTTTCTTCCAGAAGTTTATTTTTCCAGTTTCTCACCATGCATCCCAGTAAATTACTTTCAGTTTTCCCAAACTTCTTTGCTCTCACTTCTGCCTGGAACATCTTTCTTCTTCTTTTCCATCTTTATACTCCTACACTTTTCAAGACTAAGGTGAGCTTCCAGCATCCATGAAGACTTTGCCTAAGTCACCAGAATGAGTCTGGTTCCATTTGCATCTTCTTGTGTCATCCTCTGTTTCCCTTTGCTGTTCTACACACATTACACATAATGCATCATTTAATCCCTACAACAACTCTTTGAGGCGAGTACTATTATCCCAGTTATACAAATGAAAAAACTGAGGTCCAGGTACATTAAGTTACTTTGTTATAGAGCAATTAAGTGAAAAGTCTAGATCTGAACCCAGGCATTCCAACTCAAGCCCATATGTTTAACATCTTCTACCCACCCCCTGCACTTAATACTCTACCCTTAACCTGTGAGCTTGTTGAATGAACATTCATTTTTTTAATGAATAATCTTTAAAAACTGATCAGAATTGAGACAGGTTTTTATTTCATAGTATAGATTTTCAAAACTGCCAACACAGCACAAACCTAAATAAGGCCATGAAATCCTCAGGGAAGAAGAGAAGAAAGAAAGTTTGAGGAGGGTAATGGAAATAACCAACAAACTTTAGAATTTTTTGAAGCTTTTTGACATACATCGTCTTATTTTATCAATCCATGAAATATATTATGACTCCGTTTTACACATGGGGAATCTGAGACTGGGATAACCAGCACCAGGATCCTGGGCTTTATATTTTATTTCTTCTGAGGGTTTTCCCCTCAGGTCTGAGCTGATATACATGAGTAAATTGGAAGTTTGGTAGTTCTTTAAAAGAAAAACTAGGAAAGCTATTTCATACTATTATTTCATACTATTATTATTCATACTATTATTAACTATTCATACTATTATTTCATACTATTATTAACTACTTATTTACACAAGATTTCCAGTGGAGTATGGGATCAACTTCCAGAACAAAGGGGCCATGCTCAAGGATACCATAATCTTTGGGAAACTCGACTGTAAGTGCTGGAGCTAATGCATACATGTCTAAAACCTGCTCTTGAAGAAAATCAATCTCCATGTCTGTATATAACGCATCCAAGGGATGTTTTTATATGGTTCTATCACCCATTTCCTCCAGTAACTGTCCAATATATTGTATGAGAGTTTAAAGAGTTCCTGATGTAGGAATCTATAGTTGAGTTTTAGAGGAATTTCTGAATTCCCTAGAAGTTATATGTGCCAGTGAACACACTTTTTAAATAAAATTGCATACTTTATTTTTTGAGGAGAGGATATATAGCTTTCAACAGGTTCTCCAAAGGACCTACTCTCCCTGCCCTAAGATTATGAACCATCATTTTAGTGATGAGAACTAATTTTGATATTAGTCCAAAAAGCCGGACATATTACAAGGGAAATCTGTTCCCTCCATCCCATCACCACAACAGCTATTTTCCCCTCCTCCATGATACAATACCTTAAGCCACATTAAAATAATTTTATCTTCTCTACCACAGTTTGAATTTTCCACACCATTGTTGCCCTAATTGAGAGGTGCCTGGAGGAAAATATAAATGGCACAGTGATGGATTTTTATAATGGATTTGATACCCCATAAGTGTTTTAATTGGCATCACTTAAAACTTCATGTGTTGCCTAATCTAACAGCAACTGAAAGTACAGTCAGGTATTCTGGGTCTTCAGGAGGGGTCAAGTCTGTCATACGGAGTGAAGTAAGTCAGAAAGAGAAAAACGAATACCGTATGCTAGTGCATATATATGGGATCTAAAAAAAAGTTCTGAAGAACCTAGGGGCAGGAAAGGAATAAAGACGCAGACGTAGAGAATGGACTTGAGGACACGGGAAGGAGGAAGGGTAAGCTGGGACGAAGTGAGAGAGTGGCATGGACATATATACACTACCAAATGTAAAATAGCTAGCTAGTGGGAAGCAGCCGCATAGCACAGGGAGAACAGCTCGGTGCTTTGTGACCACCTAGAGAGGCGGGATAGGGAGGGTGGGAGGGAGAAGCAAGAGGGAGGACATATGGGGATATATGTATATGTATAGCTGATTCACTTTGTTATAAAGCCGAAACTAACACACCATTGTAAAGCAATTATACTCCAATAAAGATGTTAAAAAATTAAAAAAAGAGGAGTCAAGCAGGTACTGAAGCATAACTTTTAAAACAGAGCTGGGTTATGTAGTAGACAGATGAAGCATGTGATTAAGGCATCTGCAAAGCCTGAGCAACCCAGTCTTTTTAAAAAAGTATATATATGTGTGTGTGGTGTGTGTGTATATATATATGTATATATATATATATATATATATATATGTAATAACCACAGGATAAATTAGAACCTTGTTGGATTTTCTTTTGATTATCCTCTTCATTCTGTTAAACTTCTCATTAAATATGCCAGGTTTTGGAGGATGTCTATCATTGTTTCGGTGATTAAGGTCGTCTTGCCTTCCCTTTTATATAATATTGATAATTCTACCCAGAGCATTTTCTTCTTTGTGTCTCATAACAGGATTGCAAAAGAATCCTCAAAATGGATAATTTAAGAGCTAACAGGCATTAGCTTAGGATGTGTGACACTGTTCTAAATACTTATGTGTATATCATTTCATTTAAAACTCAGAACAGTCCTGTGAAGTAGGGACTACTCTTATCCCCCCACCCCGCATTTTATAACTAAGAAAATTTTAAGGTTTTTCCAGTAGGAAGGAGAGGTGTAGGGGGCGGGACAGAAGCAGCGCCGGGACAGTGTGTGAGCCTGGTCTCTGAATCAACTCTGAATGCAACTCTGCCCCTAGAGCGCTGAGCACTTTTTCTGGTCTAGGAGGAATTATTTATTAAGAACGGAGCCTATCAGCCCAGTGACTCCCTTGCCACTTTCCTATCTGCTTATAGGCAGAAATCTCCACCATCCCTGTTAAATAGACCTCATCTTCTCGGAGCCAGCCCGTATAGTAGGCACTAGTACCAGGCATTGTGTAAGCCTCGGAAACGCTCTCTCCCGACATCCGTTTTCATGTGTGTGGAGGGAGGGAGGCACAGGCTGGCGGGTGAGCCCACTCTCCAAAATGAACGTTTGAGCTAGAATTTCTGGCATAGCAGAGCCAGCGCGGGATATACAAGTGCTGAGTGTTGGAGGGGGAGTGTGTCGTCTGTAAGAAGGGAAGCCTCATGGTGGCATGGGTGATATCGATCCTCGGCTCTTACCGCGAGGACAGGCTGGCCGTTTCTTCTGATTAAAAGAGGAAGCAATACTTTGCCTAGGACACCAAACACACTGGTTCGAACTTGGCAGTTAGGAATCCCGTGCAGCTCTCTAATGCCAGGCAGGGTGTACACGCAAGGAATTTCGCTTTGGTGGAACGAACTCGCTCAGAGCTGCGCGTGCGCCTCTGCTGGGGGTGGGGGCGCAGCGCTGGGAGGAGGGCGCGGGGGACGCGGGGAG